CCTGCTGTGTTCATCCAGCCCTGCACCTTGTTAACAAGGATAGTATGTTGCCTCGCTCCTGCTAGGACAAGGAAATCTCAGAGGAGCTAAAGGCCATTCTGGAGGGCTAGGTGAACAGCCAGTGGTAATGGCACACATTGGTACAAACGACATAGGTTAAAAAAAAATGAGGTCCTAAAAGCAGAACATACGGAGCTAGGAAATAAGTTTAAAAGTAGGACCTCAAAGGTAGTAACCTTAGGATTAAAATTAGGTTTTCAGATCATAGGGTCTTGGGGCTGGTTCTGGGGAAGGTAGGATAGTACAAACTGGATGGGTTACTTCTGGGCAGGGGTGTCCCAGGGCAACATTGAGTCGAGTGGCTGGGGTGACTTTAAATGGAAACCTATGTAAGTAGTCAGAGAAAGGGGAATCAAGGACAAGAACAAAAGACAGGAAGGGGAACAAGAAAAGTGATTGATTGACAGAGGAAGCAAAGGCCAGGATCAAACGGGACAAGTAATAGTAAAAAGACAAGCCTCAAGACTTTGTACCTTCATCCACAGAGCATTCACAACCAAGTGAACAAATTAATTGCACAAATAGATAAAAACAAATATAATATAGTCAGGATTATGGAGACATAGCTGCCAGGGACAGGAACTGAATAACTGCTGAGAGGGAATTGTCCTGGGAGTACTCATCATTGACTATGGACCCCAGGAACCTCCTGCTAATGACCACATAACAACCTCCCTCTGCTGAGGAATCAGTGCTCCTCCACGGTGAACAACACTTGCAGGAAGCACTGCAGGTAGCAAGGGTGCAAAATGTACTCTGAGTGGGGAATTTCAATGTCCACCACCAAAAGTGGCTCAGCAGCAGTACTACTGACCAAGCGGGTCAGGTCCTGAAGGACATAGTTGCTAGACTGGGTCTATGCATGGTATTGAGGGAATTAACAACAGGGAAAAACTTACTTGACCTCATCCTCACCAATCTGTTGGCTGCAGACGCATCTGCCCATGATATTATTCGTAAGAGTGACCACCGCACGGTCCTTGTGGAGATGAACTCCCACATTCACTTTGAGAACAACCTCCATCGTGTTGTGTGGCACTATCACTGTGCTAAATGGGACAGACTTCAAACAGGTCTAGCAACTCAAGACTGGGCATCCATGAGGTCCCATTTACCAGCATTTGTCCCCTATCCCCCAAACCTTTCCTATTCAAGTACCCATTTTAAAAGATAACCTTTCAAAATGCTGCAATCATACCACCCTCCACCACTTCCTCTGGCAGCTCATTCCATACACACACCACCCTCTGCATGAAGAAGTTGCCCCTTAGGTCCCTTTTACATCTTTCCCCTCTTACCTTAAACTTATGCCCTCTAGTTTTGGACTGCCCTACCCTGGGGAAAAAACATTGCCTATTTACCCTATCAATGCCCCTCATGATCTTATAAACCTCTATGAGGTCACCCCTCAGCCTCCAATGCCGCAGGAAAATTGCCTTAGCCTATTCAGCCTCTCCCTATAGCTCAAACCCTTCAACTCTGGCAACATCCTTGTAAATCTTCAAAATGTCAGCAGAACAGTTCTAAATCTGGGCATGTGGTAATGTACTAGCTAGGATCTAATAAACAGCAGCCATTACATTCAATGAGAACTGAAAGAAATGCAGATGCTGTAAATCACAAACAAAAACAGAAGTTGCTGGAAAAGCTCAGCAGGTCTGACAGCATCTGTGAAGAGAAATCGGAGTTAACGTTTTGGGTCCAGTGACCCTTCCTCAGAACTTCCATCTTCACAGTTGCTGCAAGACTGCTGAGCTTTTCCAGCAACTTCTGTTTTTGTTCCAGCCAGTATATTCAGACTGGTTAACACAGAGGCGACAATCCCAGAACTGGATGACTCACCTTTCTCTTGTAAGAATTTGTGAAGTTTTCTCAGCAGGTCAAAGGAGACTGTGCAGGGGGACTGGGCTTTGTTGAGGCAGGATTTGAGTTCAGAATGTAGATCCTCAGGGATGGAATGATCCTCTTTCAGGACACGGTCGAGTTGCTGCTTGAAGCAATTCCTGACCTTCAGAACACATGCCATTGTCCCCAACCTGAGCAAGGAGACAACCTGTGAATAACGACTTACACACAGACTTTAAAAAGCTGGACAATTATTTGAAAAGAAAATTCAATGATAAATAATTTAAATGTAACGACCTCCTAGGAATTTACGATTTCATTACAGTCCTTGAGCCACAGAAACTATTCTAAATAGTTAAATATAATGAGTCTTTTATGAGGATTTGGAGAATGAGGACATTATTTAGCACAATCATTTATAAACAGCGATGAAGCTTGCTAATGGGAATATTATTATTATAATACCCACTTATTATACAATATAGTCACTTTTACCGCCCTGTCTGAGTATTAAATTTTACAATTTTTTTCAGATAATGAATAAGAAACAACCCCCGGCGTTATTTGACACAAGCTGCTGTTGCGACTCTGACCTTGAATCGGCGGCGCAGGCTTCAGGCCGCGCTAGGCCCCGTCTCCATGGCAACCCGCCAGACCGCAGCCGCCATCTTTGTTCGGGGCAGAGTCCCGGGATCGGGGCAAGAGACAGAGTGAGGCTCCTCGCCGCCTGCCGTCCGGCGGGGGAGACAGAGAGACAGAGGTCGCCCGCTTGCCCGCCGAGGGGCCTTGGCCTGCAGTGACGCCGTAAGAAAGCGGACTCGGGTATTGCCCATCCCCGAGGCCGGTTCGGGCTGTGTGTCCAGACTCGCTGACCGTCGGGCCTTCAGGATCGATGGCGGGCCCGGCTCTGAGCCGCTGCCTCTCGGCCTTGGCCACAAACCCCGCGCTCCGGCTCCGGGCCCTGAATGTCTGCTCGGCTTGCGGCGTGGGCCAGCGCCAGCAGCACGCCCGGCTCCTGTCGTCCAGGTAGGCAGGAGGCCAGGGGCACAGGCCCCGGGCCTGGGGTTGGGGGTCTTCTCCATAATCAAAATCCGCAATTCCTACACCTTTCGGACATTCCCTGGCAGATTTATCTGCTGCACCAGCCAGTAATGTGTTAATAACTGGAACTTTAGTGAAGGGCATAATCCATATTGGCAGGTGACACAAAAATTGGAAATAGCAGGCACAAGTTGTTGTATTGGGGAGATAAGTGACAGATTCAGTTTAATGTAGAGCGTTTAATGTATATTCAATGCTTCTGTGAGTTGTTAGATGGTTTATTTTGGTTGGGGGAATATGGAGAGCCATCATAAGCTAAAGAAAACAATTCTAAAGAGAATCAGGAGCAGAGTGACCTGGGGTATGAATCATTGAAGGTGACAGGACAAGTCGAGAAAGTGGGTAATAAAGCGCCTGGAATCTTGTATCCAGCAACAGGACACAGCAAGCTGCGCTGGGGGTGGGGGGAGAGGGCAGAGGGTGGTGCTTTCGGGGTGTAGAGGCATGAGGCAAGGCTTGAACCCAGTGAGGGGATAAGGATGGATATGCCTCGGGCAGGACATGGGAGAGATTGAGTGGGCTTGTACTCATTGGAATTTAGAAGAATGAGAGGTGACCTTATTGAAACATGCCACACAATTGCCAGGTAATGACCTGCTCCAGTAAGAGAGATCTAACCGCCATCCCTTGACATTCAACTGTGTTGCAATCACAGAATCCCCCACTATGAACATCCTGGGGGTTACCATTGACCAGAAACTGAACTGGACTACCCACATAAATACAGTGGCTACAAGAGCAGGTCACAGGCTAGGAATACTGTGGTGAGTAACTCATCTCCTGACTCTCCAAAGCCTGTTTACCGTTTACAAGGCACAAATCAGGCATGTGATGTAATACTCCCCAATTGCTACTCCAAAACACTCAAGAAGCTTGACACCATTCAGGATAAAGCAGTCCACCTAATTGGCACTACACCCACAAATGTCCACTCTCTCCACCACTGACACTCAGTAGCAGCAGTGGTTATTATCTACAAATGCACTGCAAAAATAGCACCTTCCAAATCCAAGACCAGTTCCATCTCGAAGGACAAGGGCAGCAGATATGGGAACGCTACCATCTTCAAGTTCCCCTTCGAGCTACTCACCATACTGACTTGGGAATTTATCGTTGTTCCTTCACTGTCGCTGGGTCAAGATCCTGGAACTCTCTCTCTCTAATGGTATTGTTCGTGTGCCTACACCCCAGGCACTGCACAGGTTCAAGAGGACAGATCTGTACTACCATCTCCGGGGCAATTAGGGATGGGAAATAAATGCTAGCCCAGCCAGCAACTGCCATATCCCAAGAACAAAATTCCCAGAATTCCCAGCATCTGATCTGCTGTTGTAGCTCCAGTATTTATAAGGCTAGTCCAATTCAATTTCTGGTCAACAATAATGTCTACAAAGTTGACGGTGGGGATTTGGTGGGGAGAGTGCCATTGAATGTCAAAAGGTGATGGTTAGATCCTCTATTGTTAAAGATGGTCATTACCTGTTATTTAAGTAGCACAAATGTCACTCGCCTTTGAATGGCTGTATAGTCTATTAAATTTTCTTATTTTCTGGGAGTGGCAGTATCCTGTGCTGTGCAAAAATGTGGCTCAAACAACTAGTACATAGGTCACTGATTGTGGATTGCAGATTGTCAGCGCTGTCATTGAGGTCTGTTCTGAAGTCCAGCTCCTTTTGTCTTCGCAGGAATCGTCCTGAAGGCAAAGTTTTGGAGCCAGTTGGAGTGTTTGAGGCACTCAAGCAACAAGGAAAATATGAAACGGGGCAGGTAAGAGTTTGAGTTGAGCTTTAAAATGATTGTGACCCTGGGGGTGGGAGTGGGAGACAAACCCACCCCAGCATCCTGGGGTTGGCATGGCAGCAATAGGCCCTCCCTGGGGGTGGTAAGTGGCAACAGATCCACACCAAGACCTAATCTCTTGGAAGAGAGTCCAACCCTCTCTCTGCTTCACTTAGTGGCATTGAGTAAAGGGCACAGACATTGGCTGCTTGTGTGGATTTGTGCTGAATGAGCTGTTCTCTGCCCTTTGCTTGATGTTTTGGAGAATGTGAGAGGATTTTGTTCAAACAAAGCAGATTCTAAGACTGAATCAGAGATAGTAGGAACTGCAGATGCCAGAGAATCCGAGACAACAAGGTGCAGGGCTGGATGAACACAGCAGGCC